GCCGCGATCGGACAGGCTGGCTGCTTGGAGTTTCCCGGGTTTTCTCCTTGCCAATAACGACTAAATAGGAGGCCAGTTCCCCATAAAAGTCCTCCCGGAAGGCATTCTTTCCCCGCGCGCGCGTTTAGGCCGTTCGGATACGGCTGGCTCATCAGTCGCATAGCGATCAATAACAAATCATGTTGATATGGAGAGTATAGCTCTATGTTAGCGATCATGTTGATATGGAGAGTATAGTTCTATTTAGGCTCTTTCTTTGTCAGTCGGAGTTGTTGAACTCTCTATATCAACATAGAAGAAATGCCCTTTGTCGTCTTTCGTTGGCATCTTCTGTCTTCACACTTGGGTGAAGACAAGAGAAGCTTAAGCAAAAAAAAAAACTACACAGACAAAAAGAATTTAGCATTTTTTTGACAGACATTTAATGAGAAACATTCTTTATTGATGCTTTTGGAAGCTAATAGGAAACCATTAATAGTTTTCGTTAAGAGTTTGTTGCAAAGGTTTGTTTTAATTACCGTATATCTCGGCAGATAAGACGACCTTCAGATAAGATGAGGTATAAATTTTCGTCGAAGTTTTATAGTTTTAGCATATATTTGTCCTATAAGATGATCCCCAAACTATCAACTGCCTATGAATTTAGTGTAGATCAGCAATCATCATCTGAATAATAATACAGTACTGTATACGAAATTATGCCCCATTTTTGTAATTTTTCGAATGAACAAACTTTATTTTCTTGCATCTGGCAGCAGTGCCTTGCGATTGTTGCAAACATTGATTCGGCATTTGAGTAATGACCTTGACTATTCACAAAAACGTCGTATGGGCCATTCTTTTGTGCACATATCCCACTCTCTACCAGTTAATAATTACGGTTTGACTGTCTTTTTATAATGGTTTTAATTTATATAAATTTCAATCTAATTTTTTTTTGTATCTGTCCTATAAGACGACTCTGGATTTTGGGTTTTTTTTTATGATTCAACTATTGTCTTATCTGCCGAGATATACAGTAAGTTAATTTTGGAAAAAAAAATGCACGAAGCACTGGAGAGTGCAAAACCAATAAATATAAAACGAACTTTCCAAAGTTTTCAAATTCAAATTTTCCATCATATCGATAAGTTTTGAAAGTTTGTACCGGTACCGATAGTTGTCAACTAGCCTTTTATTTTTTTTATTAATTCACCTCGACTCTCTACATACAAATGCCATTGAACATCAATAGATTATAGTAATTCAGAATTCTGTTGCTCCAAAATTCTAGGCAGATTATTCAGGAAAGGATGGATAGAATTTGGCTTCTTTTTCGAAAACGTCAAATTAGTTGTACGCATGGAAGAAGGTGCAGATTTAGGAAAGTATAATTTAAAAATATGGTAATTTAAACTTGAAGAACTTCGTCTTTGATTGAAGCCGAGCGATGGCTCGCGTTGCTGTGCTGTCGCGACGAAACAGTCATTGCAAGAGATGGGTCTAAAGACTCCCCCACAAAGCGACAGCCATCTTTGTCGATATCACCAATAACATCCACTTCCACTTTACATCCCCAGGCACACAGCACCTTCATTGTCCACCCATAAACTACAGCACCTTTACTGCCGAGGGATATGCTATTCTGCAGGCTGTTTTTTACACTATCAAACACCATAAATCCGGCATCATCTGCTCGGATTCCCTCTCCATTCTTAAAGCTCTTAATCCACCTGTACAACCATACACTCCATCACCAGTCATATCTTCCACACACTCCAAAACAACTACAATTGCGATCGCCATATCCAACTAGTTTGGACCCCCGCACATAGTAGGATCGCCGTTAAAGAGGCTGCATATCAATTTGCTAAATTCCTCACAACCCACGCCATCACAGCCGATGGACACATCTCTTCTGAAATCACTGCCTGCATGGAAGATAGCTGGTGAATTACCAAACCCACAACAACTACCCCTGTCTTCATCATCCATATTTAATAAATCTCTGACAAAATTAATTTATTTTTAAATTTATTTCATATATGTTTTAATAAAATTTGTTGTAAGTAATTTTTATTCNTATTCTACATCAATACTTTTCTGAAATAAATGATCAATTAATATAATTTTGATTTATTTTCAAAGTTCTGTTCTTTGATACAACTTTATATTTAAATTATAAGACAAAATACTAGTTGAAAAATTTTGAAATAAGTGATTTTAAGTCATTTATCTTTTTGATATTTATTTATTTTGATTTATAGATATTTATTTCTCTATTAGTTCATTAGTACAGTACATGTATTTGCCAAGTGGTCAAATGGAGAAAACTACTAAACAGAGTTCAGTAGTTTTATCCATTTGACCCACGTGGTCGTGGGATCGAGCCCCGCGAATCCACGACCACGTGGTTTTCCGGATTTTTTTTCACGTTTGTAACACCTAAGTGGGTGCTACTTTCCCATAGAAAGTCCCCCTCGGCAGATTGCCCGTGTGTCCCTTTGCTGTGAAGAAATAAACCAAACCAATACCCTTAACTGGACGCTTTGATGCAGTACTGTATTCTATTGATATAATCTACTTGCGAAAAAACCCAAAAATTTAAATAATCGAACAAAAATTAATTGATGAAATTATTTGTCTACAATCTTAACTCCCCTAGAAAATGTTCCGGGGTAGCATACTTTGGGCGTTAGTTGTTAGTTTAAACGTTTATTTCAAAATAACTTTATTGCCGAATATCTCAATACGAAATTTTAATCGACGATTGAGAAAATCAGTGTGATATTGTAAACTTCTATTGAAAATAAAGGTATTATTTTAACATTTATGGGAAATTTCTTTGCGAACATAGATATTTGGAAGGCTTCTTTACTGTCTACAATAGGAGGCTACTTCGATGCAACAGTCTGTAATAAGATAATCTCGCTTCGGGATTCAATACCCTTTCTGAAATCTGTAATAATAGGTAATTCTAGTAATAAGGTAATGTAAGGTGCAGCAAATAATTTGTACGCTTTCTATTGTCCAAATTATTTTATATTTTGAATGAGGAATCATTAGATGTTTTCTATTAAAGGATATTTCTGAATAATTTCTGCAAGGAGCGTTAATTTCATAAAACTTTGTTCCTTTCTGATTATCTTAATTATTCAAAAACAAGGAATGTTAACATTCATTCCCACAACAAAAATAATTGCTAGGAAATATATTCAATCACATCAAAGCAAAGGGTTTCTAATACAGAATGATTATAAAATTTCAATCCATTTTTGCAAAAATAGTAACAAAATCATTTGTTTGAAAGTCATATGAAGCATGCCAACTCAAGAAAAGAGAATTGCCATGGTTTCCACATGTCCGAATGAATTAATACACGAAAGTATCATCAAATTGTATCCTGTTCCTTAGCATTTAAAAGAGCGAGTGCCATATTCCTTGACAGGTGACCTAGTTCTTTTTCCTCCTTCAGCTGGTGTGAAACTTAGACATGCTGTGCAGGTTTTATGAGTTTGTAATTAAGGATATCATATATTGTCAGTTGTGACACCAGCACCTAGTTTAGTCTTCTGATTTATTACATAGGCTGTTTAGTTTCTACACATTGAACCATTTTGTGTGGTATGGTGGTCTCCCAGAATGTTGTGCATTGTGTTTAAATGAGTAATGTAACTTATTAGTCATAAAATGCAATATAATTTCAAGAGTGATCTTCCAAAGATACCTCCTGGAAATGCTCTGTATGAGGAAATTGGTTTCCATTTAGATGAAAGAAAACCCAGGAAACCAACCTGTTAGTCAGGTTCAAACCCAAAATAAACTACTCATGTTTGGTGTTTTCATTCACTTGGCCACTGGTGGGCCCAATAAAAATGAATATAAAAAATTAATCTGTCAAAACTGTAAAATTTTATTTACATGTGATTTTTTAAAATTATTTGCAAAAGAAAATATATACAGTAGAGCGTCGATTATCCGAAAGAATTCCAGTTGGCAAATTTAAATTTTCGCCAGTGCTGTGGCGCTGCAATCTTTGGCTATGTCTTCAGCTACTCAAATATTTTACGTTTTTGATACTAAATTAACTTCTGAAGTATACTTTTTTATTGTTTTTATATTTTTCAATATATTTATTTTGTTCGTACAAAATAAAAAAATAATTTTTAACGATACAATAGTCTTCGTTAGGGTTAACATCGATGAAAATTCAACGCGAAGCGACACGCAACGGAGAAAAATGTCAAGATGGGATAAATTAATAGAGTATATTTTTTCGTACACAATCGGTTATCCGAAACACCTGTCCCAATTGATTCGGATAATCGACGCTCTACTGTGTTTACAATTCAGGATATTCATGACACAGATTTCTTTTTTGGGGTTAAAATTCCACTCAATTGAAAATATTTATAAATTTAAATGAGGTAAATTGGCACTATCCTATATTTTGCATTTCTAATGTAATAATGCTAATTATGCCTGTGATAAAAAACTGTATGATGTATTTTTAACATATAAATTATAAACTTTTAGACAATAAAATGTATAAAAATGCAATAAATTGAAATTTGAGAGATTTAATTATATAAGATGAAACTTTAATATGAATTACAGTTAAATGTTAAAATATGGATTAAAGGTAATTAACATGGTAAAGAATTTATTATATTATACAATATATTAGGAAAGGTAACTAAATATCCAGTTTGATTTTATTATACACTAATTTACATTTTTCTTTCTTACATGATGTAAAAGATTTTCTACTTTCTAAAAATTTTCTTCCATAACTCTTTTGCCACTTTGAATCATTCCTGGCCAGCAAAAAATTTTGATAAAAAATCAGTTGGTTTTTTATTGGCAGTATCTTGAAAATAAGCCATAATATGAGTTTTCTGTTTCCAAGCGTTCATAGCTTCTACTAATTCCATTTGACCCTAAAAATACAAAAGTTTTTAAATTAAATTTGTATATAATTCTGATGTATGATTAAATCTAATAACAATTAAACATTTTTAATGTTAATTAAATACAATATTCCATTCGCTTTCTGAATCTTTTAATGTAAATGAAGACCAACACCCAAAATCAGCACAAATTAACTCAAAAAAGTGGTCTTCATTTATATGAATAAACTTAAAAAACTGGAATATATCTTCTAATGTTAAAAGATATTTCATTTTGTTTGAAAAAAATAATGATGATGATTCTTTAACACTCTGTGGCACGAAGATGGCCTTTTTTCCATGCCTGTCTAGTGTTTAGCCAGAACCAAAATGGAGGCAAGTGGGTGCCAAGGAACAAGGCCAATGACGTCATTGGGAAATCTGTGACGAAATGGGATTCTGTCACGTGTTGCCATCATGCCAATAAAAGTGTGGCAAGAGGGAGAATCGTCTGCACGTGACATAAACTACGATTCTTATTGGTAGCTGTCAGATGCAGCAGCGACCATAACCAATAAGTATTATATCACCGAAAGGGGCTCCTTTGAATTCTGTAAAACCTAGTTTTACAGAAGGTAGCAAATAATATACAGGACAGACCACCTATCCCAGGACTCAAACTGAGGTCTCCCTGATTGACAGATTGTCCATACTAATTGCTTTGAAATTAATTTTCTAGTTATAAGTAATCTAAGCAAGGATATATTTGTTATATATGGATTCAAACTATTATATATATATATATATATATATAAAAAAAAAAAACAGTAGTATATATGAACTGTTTCTAGAAATACAATTATATCAAATAAATTCAAAATGCATGTTTATTAAATTTAACTTTAATTCATGTTTTTCTAAAATATTGTTAAAAGTTCAAATCAGATAAAACTCAATTGCAAATAGCAATTTTTAATCTGATTACTCGTGATTTTAGTAAATTGAAGTAATCAGGTCAATACAAAATATTTTAATAAAAACTATATGGATTTTACTTTAATTTAAGTGTCAATAATGTTCATTTGCAATTAACAATGTTTACCAATTAAATGATATTTTATCACTTCAAAGATATTATTTCATTGTGTAGAAGGTGTTTGTGAATTTTTAATTTTTACTTCTTTCATTTCCACAAGTGACACTGTTATACTCTTTACTAAACATGTTAGTGATGTATTCTTTTAAACAGACATTAATTATTAGAATTAAAATATTGTATGTAAAAAGAAGTGGAAAATATTCCCAAGTGATTATGGATATTTGAATGAAAGAAAAAATTTAAATCTACCCAAGCAGTAAAGTGACAACAAATGTTATCACTCATGTACAGTTTTATTTATGGATTTCATGTCTGAAGGAATAACTGTCAACTCAAAAATACACATGATAACCCTCAATGCGTGTTTGCACTGTTTTCAAAACATTAATATAATCAAGTGTTTCTAAAAAAATAATATTGAACTACATTCCAATCTGAAAACAAAGACAACCATTACCAAATTCAATCAACTATATTGCATTACATTTGGTATTATCATTAATCTGAAGAACAGACTTTGTGTTGTGTTGAAGTTTAATGATGATTTTCTTATTTTACAGAGTAAGAAAAATTTAAGTACTTTGCTTTATTAAATTTGTTTTAAAGTGGAAAAACAAATGAAGAATAAATGTAAGTATTAAAAAACATACTTTTTTTTAATAGATTTGTTTTTAGAAATAAAAATGCATCAATAGAAATGCTGAAATATAAGTATTGATTGGCTAAAATGCTATAGGTATCACTTCCAAAATGTATGCCATAGAAATAATTTTATTTACAGTAGAGCGTTGTTTATCCGAATCAATTGGGGACTGGGGTTGTTCGGATAACTTATTTTTCGGATAACCAATTACGTACGAAAAAATATATTAATTTATCCCGTGTTGACATTTTTCTCCATTGTGTGTCGCTTTGCATTGAATTTTCGTAGATGTTAAGCCTAACGAAGACTATTGTATCTTTAAAAATTATTTTTTTATTTTGTACAAACAAAATAAATATATTGAAAAATATAAAAACAATAAAAAATTATACTTCAGAAGTTAATTTAGTATCAAAAACGTAGAATATTTGAGTAGCCCAAGACATAGCCAAAGATTACAGCGCCACAGCACTGGCGAAAATTTAAATTTGTCGACTGGAATTCCTTCGGATAACCGACCTTCGGATAAACGATGCTCTACTGTATTTAAACTGGTTTGTGTGTAATTAATATTTTATAAAATACTAATGCTGTTTTTTTGACACACTTGTTCATAAATAAGGATATTTTATATATTTTTTCATGTTGTCTTTTATCAACTCCTTAAAATATATTCTAAAAATTTTAAGCATTGCTTTATTGCAAGAAAGACCAATTTGACATGGAGTTACAATTGGAATCAACATTTACAAGACACAAGAAAAGAATAGAGAAAATTTACATATAATAAGACAGAATGAAAGAAAAACTTAAGCAAACAAACAGTGTGACGTTGCAGCAAATATCAAAAAAATTTGCCATGTTTTGTTATATTAGGTAAGCCTGACCTGATTGATATGAATGTTAATTTGCTATTTACAACAATTCTACTAATTTGAATACAATACTTTTTCAAATTTTTTAGTGGTTAACTGAGCAACTCTGGTCATTGTCATTTTATCACACAGTCTCTTTTTTTTTTTTTTTACTAGAGTTTTTAAAACAAGTAACACAAACTCTGAAAACTTTTGATTAATAATTTGTGTGTATCCCTTAAAACTAAATTGTAATAAAATCATAAATTATTGGTTGTTTGCAAAATAAAAATCTCAAAAACTTAAAAATTACCATAAACTGTAGAATACACTATAGAGATTCCCCACAGTCTGGAAAAGTTATTTTTTACAATGTTTTTTGCATCTGTAGTAATACAGGTAATGATAACAGACAATGAGTCATTCAAAGCTGGAACTTATCTTAACATTAATCAATATCACATCTTCCTTATGTCTTCCAGCAATATGTTATTAGAAACAGTCATTGACCACGACTAAAGAAATGCAGATATGGCATTGCTAAAAATAGATTTATTACAGCACTAGCATTTGCATTGGAAGTTTATATATAGTTAATCGGGGCCTCTGTCCTTAAGATTTCCATACCTGGCCTTGTCTTTCATCTAACTCCATTCTCGAGATTAAGGAAAGACAGACAGATGGCAGTGGGAATTTATAGGTCTCCAATTTTTTCAAATTGCAGCCGAATTATCTTTATCTAATTCAACATACAGGTAACCTCCATATAACACGGGAGTTATGTTCCAAAAAATTGCTGTGTTATGCGAATCCGTGTTACACGAAACAAAGAACTAGTGTAAAAAGGGGGGTTAGGTTCCAAAAATTAAAAAACATGCTGTTAAATCCTTATTTAAATCAGATTTATTATTCATTTTTCTCATAGGTAAAATATTTATTTATTATTTAAGTAAATATTTTACCAGAGGATTATTCATCCTATATGATGATCTCAGCATGAGCATCAACTGGTAAGTTTTTGGGTGCATTCGTTAATAGTGGTCGCTTTGCAATGGGTGTGTGCCGCTGTTTGTAGGCATTTAGGAACAACAGTGAAAGAAAGATGGCGGGTCCTGCACTATCAATATTGTGATGGAGGAATCTATAATTCTAAAATGAGCTTTTAGAGGCAAAAAAAGGGTCCCAATTGTAAAATTTAACCATTAAATGGATTATTTGTTGAAAGAACATTCAAAGTAGCCACAAAAACAATTAGAATGCTCGTGCGGAGTTATGCAGAAGTACAAAAGAACGCACCCTTTATTACATTTCATGTTGTACGAGGGTTTTACCCAATTCCCAAACAGTGTTAGAGTGAACCCGTGCTATAAAACCACTGTGTTATACAGGGGATGTTCCCAATTCTCGAACCGTATTAGAGTGAATCTGTGCTATAGAAGTGCCGTGTTATACGGCCTACCAGGGGGTTACCTGTATTATATTATTTGATTTTTATAAACATAAATTTAAACGTTGGAACATTTCTATTTTGGAATACTCAGTAAACAGTTCAATTCATAAGTACAGAACCTGAAGCAGGTCCATAAACTAGGCCGAAAAGATGTATCAAGTGCAGATATTAAAAATCTGCAAAAATATTGCAGTTTTAATGAAAAGAGATGGGGAATCCCTTAGTTTTGATCTATGGAAGATTAAACTTGGAAAATTAAAAATGAATATGCTGAAATTTTCATAGTGAATATATACTTTCTCAGCTTTTTATACAAAATAAATTACTTAAAATATTGGATTATAAAGTGTAATAATTCATAAAAATCTTACTTTTATAACTAACATATCTATGGCTCTTATATCGCTGACATATTTGTTTTTATTGAAAAGTTCTCGTAGCTTCTCTCTTCCCTGTTGTGCAGAAACGGGAATATAATATTCAGAACCTAAAAAAAATCATGATTAAATCAGGCTTAATTATAAATTATTTTAGATATAATGACCTCTGATGATAAAATACGAACTATTTACACACTAGAAGTGAAATTCAAAGATAGTGTTTTTATTGTTGTAAACAAATTGCATATTTTTAAGAGAAAGTTCTGTGCATTTCTCTGTGTGGGATGGTGATTTAGACTATTATTGCTTATTGTAGTTCATTTGTCTCTACATATTTCCTCTGTCATTGCAGATAAAATTTCTTTATTAAATAATTTATTATGACATTGTATGTGCATGTCATCCCTCGAACCTACAGGTTTTAAACTGCTTTAGACAACGTTAAAAGCACATCACTACTTTCGAGTAAGGCCAAAACAGAAAAACTTATGCCATGGAGTTCAGTTCCATTTTCTCAGAAAATTCCTAGTTTTATTGAAATTATAGTAAATTAACACAAGAAACTGAGTATTTTATATATGTAAAGTAATGTATGCTTTAGTTTTTTGGATTTAATAATTAATTTTTTGAGAATATTTTGTTTACACAGTAGAACCTGGATAATTCAAATGTTTTTAATTCAAATATTTCCTCTAGATCCTTAAATTTGCTAAAGGAATAATATAAAAAAAATTTCTCTCTAATTCAAACATAACATTTTTTGTTTAATTTAAAGAAATGATGAGAAGTATAAGAAAAATCACTTTCAATATTGAGATAAGATGTGTCATTTAATTAAGCAAGCCTTCATTAGTAATGTCAATTGGTAAATTCCAGAGTACAGTATTCAGCACATTTCTTAGTTTAAGCTTTCTTAAAAATAAACTCGAGAAATTCACTTTAACAATGAAAATACATTGGAGAACCATTTAAAATTTCAAGCCTTTATAAAAATTTACTTATTTTATTTCCAAATAAGAGCACACTCCTACTTAAAAATATGGTAAATAGTTTTTGATTATTTTTGAGAAAATGCTTAATATTTAACTATCACATAATTATGCATTTTTCTGAAAAATTAATATAATTGTATCCATATTGTGATCCAGGAGATTCATTGGTACAATTACTCCTCCGAATGAGACAGCCGGGACCTTATTAGAACAGTAGATCATACCCATAGGAGCAAAAAATAAAGGAACCATACTTCTACATGTGACTCTGCAAGACACAGCCCTTCTGAAATCTGCCTATTTCCAGGACATATGCAATTGGAACTTCTATTTTTCTGCTAAAGACTATTGCTTTTAACTATTTAACAGTGCTATGCTAGTTCAAGGTAACAACTGACTTTCGCGGCAAAGGGTCACATGTACAGGTGTGGCCCTTTTGACTTTTTTTGAACGTGTAGGGAGTCTACAATTCTGGAGTATGGCAAATCCCTCATTCACAGTTCACATCTTACCAACTTCTTATAATTCACCATTCGTTTCATAGGTTATAAATATCGATTCATGCAAAATTTAAACAAAAACATTTAATACATACAGATATAAGGAATCTGTCGATACCAGGCTTTATACAAATTAAGTACTCGTCTTCTGGCTTCGGCAGTATCAACAGATAAAATGGGTTTCACCTGTCTAGGAACTGATTTCACTACATGTCCGGCCATCTTTTGTCTAATCGCCCTCTATCGTCACAACTATATAAATAGACATTTAAAAAAAAAAAAAACCATTTTAATAACAAATAATTCAAATTTTTACCTTTATTTTAATTATATTAATTATTATAAAATTACAAAATTATTAAAAAATAATCCTTATTTTAATTTATGTTTTTGCCATACGCGACGATCAATATTTCAATACAGTATTTCTGAAATATAATTTTGCTAAAAACTATTCAATAACATCAATAGTCTCATCATCTCTTTGTTGGCCTTGCCTAACCATAATGGTAATGATAACCATAAAAGGCTCTCTTGCTGTCCACTGGGTAAAGAATAAAAATATAATGCTTCTCTGTTATGACATTACTGAAAACAAAGGCAACAATGGAAGGATGCGTATTAGTTGCCTGCCAATTTACGGGAAAAAGACAGTGTTCTGTAACAAGGCTGTGGAAGTTTCTGGATAGTAGACAAAGACGCCATTGCGCCTATCAGTGGCCTACTGTATGAAACCGTGAGCACTGGTAGTTCGTCGTGTTCTCGCACCTGACCAGCCGAACTAACCACGTGGAGTTTTCCGGGTTTTCTTCACTTGTCTAACACCTACATAAGGCCAGTTTCATGTAGAAAGTCCTTCCGGAAGTGATCTCTATCCGCAGATCACAACGTGTTGTGAATTGCATCAAACAAAACACGATTGCAGTGCTTGTCTCACGATCAGACGATCACCTATCTTGGTGTTCTATCTCTGGCATTCAGAGTCTGTCCGCTGTATTCATTATTCCCAATACCTTAAAGTTCTGAAATTTGAGGAGGTCCTCAAAGTCAGATCAGAACGGCAATTCGACTATATTGTTTACCTCAGCTCGATGACGTGGCTTTTTTTCAAATTCTGTCAGTTGTGCATAATGGATTAGATTGAATTGATGGCATAGGTCCAGGCTGCAGCAAACGGATGTGCAGGATGCTCACTACATGCGGGCGTCGTCATCAAGGTGTGCCTAAAGACATTCTCAATTAAGCATCTGATTTGAATTATAAAATTAGTTTCTCGTTCGGCTAGGAACTTCTACGGACTAGTATATAACGCCGTTGCCAGGCGTTCATACCATCCAAATTCAGTTCAAAGGAGTTTAGATGGTTATTAAGAAATAAGAATTCACAGTATATTTGCACCAATTTTGGGGGAAGCAAACACTAGGACTCGCAGGTAGCTGTGAGATATTCTAACGGGTGTTGAATAAGGCAACAAATGAATGATGCCGACGGTGTTAGATAGATGAAATTCGAGACCAGAAATGGAAAGCTTAGGAGACGGAAGCTCCAATTAAACTACAGTAGAGCGTCGTTTATCCGAATCAATTGGGGACTAGGGTTGTTCGGATAACTAATTTTTCGGATAACCGATTATGCACGAAAAATGTATTTATCTATCCCATGTTAAAATTTTTCTCCGTTGCGTGTCGCTTTGCGTTGAATTTTCGTCGATATTAAGCATAACGAAAACTTTTTAAAATAATAATCGTGGCTATTGTATCGTTAAAAATTATTTTTTTTTATTTTGTACAAACAAAATAAATATTTAAAAAAATATAAAAACCAAAAAAATATACTTTAGAAGTTGATCTAGTATCAAAAACGTTCGATTCAGCACCACACACAGTCCTCAGAAAAACACCACACAAAAGTGCCAGTGCTGCCAGCTAAAAAACACACACCAACAAAAAAAAAATATTGGAATAGCCCAAGATATAGTCAAAGATTGCAGCGCCACAACACTAGCGAAAATTTAAATTTGCCGATTGGAATGCTTTCGGATAACCGACGTTTCGGATAAACGACGCTCTACTGTATTTACGAAATTTCTGTTTGGACCGGAAGTCACGTTATTTCAATTCAAAAATTTTATTCCGAACGGAGTTAATTAAATAGATGACCGGCACGATTCCATTGTTAACAGGAAAAATATGATGTACCGTACGAGGGCACGACACTATTAAAACTGAGAGTATTGTGACGTCGTCATATAAATAATAGCTCATTTTCTGTAGATCTCCAGATGTGAGGAATGAAAGAGAGGAGGAATTCGATCCTGGACTCCCTAAAGCGTAGGCTTAGGCCTTTGTCACATAGATCTAGAGATTTATAAAGCAAAAAGCTTTAAAGCATAAAGAGAGATCTGGACCATCTGGAGTCTTCTAGAATAGAGCTTTAGACCAAAAGATCTAAAGAAATGGAAAAATAAGTAGAACGATTCATACGTTTGGCTGAAAACTAACGTTAAATTACAAATGAATTTGGAATTATTTTATCGTAATTCAATTAATACTGTATTTATAAAACCGCCATTTAATTCTAATTGTTTTATCAGCAATCTCATAATAAGGAATAGAAGTAAATTAGAAAAATAGTAGAATTGATAATAAGTGACGATGGGTGTAGTTTACTTCATTTGGTTATATTAAATTAAATTCTCCAGCAATCTTGAAATTAATTAATTAATTCGAATGTAAAAAGTGTCGGATGTAAAATTTAATTAAAACGTTCGACTCGTGCAAACCGGTACGAAGTGAGACAAATTCATTTAGTTGTAAGGTTAATGCCGATAAGAATGCGTTATAGTAACGGAAAGCATCTTGTAATTTCTGCACCCCTTGACACGTGATTGACATCAAGTTGCCAAAATAGAATCGCCCGTCTTTCAATTATTCAATTAGGAGTAAATAAATAGCGAGGAAAATACAAAAATGTATGGCCTTAACTTAAATTATTTTAATGAATGAACGTTTCTAAAATATAATCTAGTGTTATTTGCTACTGTCTACGTGTAAATTTAACAAGATAAGAAATTGAAGGTCGGTATAATATGATTTTTTTTTTTTTAAAAAACTCTTTCCGCCCTAAGAGGACCTTTTTAGCAAGCCCTTATGGGTTTGACCAGGACCACAATTGGGCAACTGGGTGGTGAGAGAGGGAGACTACTCTATAAAGATTCTTAGGGTTTTTCGACTCGTCTGGGTTCTCCAGAATAGTAGGCTGCCACCTTAAACACTCTGGGGACTTTCACTACTCAGTTGCCAGCATATCCGAATTAAAAATCCAGCAACGAGTTGCTTAACTTTCCTGGCAACATTTGGTGGCATCATCTATTATGATATTTTATTTAAAAACGTTTTATATTTTTAACTATTATAAAATAGCAAAATGCTTAATTAATTAATTTAATTTAGACGGTAGAGATGAGTTTTATAGAAAAATTGTAAATGCTATTAACGTAAAATCGTCATTAATTCTGACCCTACTGGAGATACACACGACTCCCTTTATCTCCTCATCCCCTCGACCTTCAATCACTAAAATTTAATAGCATCAACCTCCCTAATAAACAATCCATCCTGCAAAATTTCAGAAACTTTCGACAAAAACCACAGGAGTTATTAAGCTTTAAACAGGGTAAACAAAATCGTGCCTCCCACACATATAGAAGATTCATACATACAAAAAAAAAAAACTCTCGAATTTTTCCACAAAGCACAAGATTTGTAGCTTTTTCTTTTGTTTCTGTTTTTTGAGGCCCGAGCCTGTGATAAGGCCTTAATAGTTCCAATCACAGGAAAGATTATAAGTAGAAACAGGAGAGATCCTATTACAGAGGAGCTAGTAGGAAGCTGTATCACAAAAGAGCTAGTAGGGTCATAACTTCTGTTACAAATTAAAAATTAAGGCACAGCTTAATTTATTTAATTTGGGATTAGTAAACAAGTTTAATATATAAATTTTTAAATATATTGTAACGAATATAAATGGCATAATTTCTTTGTTTTTATTACATGGCAGGAGAATAAGTTGGATAAAAATGCTCCGTCAAGCGATAGTTGTATGGGATTAACAACAATTCCTAATCTTTCTCATCCATTTATAGAATCTCGTAACGTTACAAGAAGTCTACTGATTAAATTGGCTGCTGACTGATTCATACGGTCGAATTGCCATCTCGGTAATTTCCTAAATGCAAATGTCGACCCAAAAGCCTACTATCTATACAAACGTTCGTCCCTGGTGTAGAAGGATCCGATAACGGCAGAATACTGAAAAGATTTTCATTGTTGTTATCTCATAGTCGTGCTTCCTCGTACTTTACAAGTCTGTAGTTTAGAAAAGCATTTGCATAAAAGTAAAGTAAGCTAATTTCTTTTCTTACGAAGGAAATATAGGGGGGAAAATCTATTATTCTATTCAATATATTTTTTTTTAATTCAACATTTTTAAAACGGATTTTAATATAAGTTTAAAATGAAAAGAAATGGTGTTAAATGTGGGAAAAAATTTATACGAAATTTCTCTAAATTGTCAATCGGCTCGCCAGTGATCGAGTGGATGAAATAGCTGAAAACACAGTCGTGGGTTCGCTTCTGAGTAAAGAGTTGACCATGTAGAGTTTTTTGCATTTTTTAATGCATCTAATACCACAGTAGATTCCAGTTTCCCACAGTCTCTAACACTTAAATAGGAGCAGTTTTCATGTTCCAGTTTTCTCCTTGTATCTACCACCAAGGGAGGTTCCAGTTGTTTCATACTGTCTAATACTTAAATAGGGATAGTTTCTCAGATTGTCTAACACCAAGATAGGTTTCAGTTTTCTCATAGTGTCTAACAACAAAGTAAGTTTCAGTTTCTCATAGTGTTTAACACCTAAATAGAGGGAACTTCTCATAGAAGTCTTCGTCATTGCAGATCGCCCAAGTGTTGCGTTACCTTATTCCATCAATACAATTGTAAATTGTCATTATCTGTACACTTTATTATTATATCAATTAACCAAAAAGTCAATTTTTCTTATACTTTCTATTAAAAAAAAATTATCAATTAACACATCTCACAAAGAAAGAAACGAGAAAGAACACCCGATTTAACAGTTTTATTACAGAAAATAAAAATAATATAGATTTTTTTTTATAGAAGTAAAGCGTAAACTTTTAACATTTTTATCGATTCATACCATAATCTCAGAATATATAAATACTCCTAATATCAGAATTAACGCTCGAAGTTTAGACGTTACACAATAGACGAACGGTAACGACAGTATAAAGAGCAGATTACTATTTTCTTGGGGACAAATCGGGATATTTTTGCAGACTATCGATCAAAGAGACGTTTTATCTGAAAGATTCTTTATGATAAAATCCATTCTTTGCAACTTTCTAAAGCGTTTTTTTTTTTTTTTTTAAAGTAGCAGCCTACAAAAGGGGTGTGACGGGAGTGACGTATTTTTTTGATTGATCCACACATTGAACGTCAGGTGTGTAGAGTCAATCGATTCGAGTAGAGAGCGGAATGCGAACTGCACCACGGACTACGATGTACTATACCAAGACTTTCCATAGAGCCAACATCAATCTGGATTAATTCTGTCAAATATGTCGTCTCTACGTGAAAGATTCCCTAGTTGTCAGCCGTTTGCCTTGAAAAATTGATATATTTTATTCTCTACGTTAAAGAAGGAGCAATTAAAAGGTGAGTTTACTTAAGCTTAAACCTATAGAATTTAAATTTACTTCATAAAATAGTTTTCGTGCTTTACGTATGATAGAAAAAGTTCTTTATTTTTTTAATATTAATAATCTAAACGCATTCTTCGGTTTGACATGTAATTCTATGGAGTCAATTCGCCATCCTTAGACTTTTCTTTACGTGTCTCGAGTGCATAAATATGTCAGAATAAAACTAAATATTTACTTATTAAAATAAATAAGGAATGAATTAAAATTCTACAAATTTTCAGCTATTAAATTTAAAGATTTGGCCCTCATTTTAGGGGAAAATATCGAAGATACGAGGCGAAAATTCTTGAAATTTCCCTAACCTGTTGCGAAATTTTTCGAAACTCGTACAAAGAGCGCTTAATTCTTAAGTGATTATCGATAAACAGCGTATAAATTTACTTTCCATTATCAAACAATACGATCATCGATTAAAATTCTAATGGCTTCAACGATTACCCCATTCACTTATCCTATAAATAATGGAAGAAAATCCATTTAACATAAACTAAATTTTAGAATTTATTTTATTATATGAAGTTTCCTACGTTAGTTTCATTTTAGTAAATTGACTAAAACAACTGTAAGTGGACACGCCTTCCATAAAGGTGATTAACTCGACTAAAAATACACTACAAGAGATAACAGAAGACAAATTTATTCCCGTGTCTCGCGTGTGACGTAGAGATGAGAGGTGTCACTATTGGGAGTGCATCTATAATAGGTTTATATGTAAATTCTTTTGTATGTAGAAGGACTCTGGGGTGGTCCATCCGGATACATTGGGCCACTCTCACTACCCGACTGACTCATTGTGGGCCCGGTCGAACCCATAATGGGCTTGCTAAAAGGACCCTGTGAGCACTAAGAATTAAAAAATGGATGGAATATTCTTCCTTTGCTCCTTGCTTGAGTTTAATAAAGCTTAGTAATGAAGTGTGGACGATTCTACGAGCGAGTCAATAATGTTTTTCACCAATGTCGTTATGGCAACTTGTGTCAACAGTTTAAAATTATTGTGTAGAGTGAAAATAAAGAATCCATGTTGAACTTTGAACTTAGAAGAGCTCGTGCCACGATTAGAGAAGCTTCTATAATGTATTTTAATTATTGTTGACATTCTCTATAAATAAAAGTCAACTAAGAGGAAAGAATTAAAATCTACTAAAAGTTTCATTTAAATTAATTAAACTAATGGAAAAATATAATTTTCTGGCATGAAAAATGAAAGAAACGTGCGATTCGTGCTATAAAATTATCACTTTATTTAACTTATATTTTTGAATTTTTTTTTAATGACTAATAAACATCAGGAAAAATGGTAAAATTATTTAATTTTAAATCAAAAGTATGAATTTTTCAAATTGTTTTCCAGTGAAAAAAATCGATATCAAATAGAATTAGCACAATAAAATATAAAATATGAATTCTATAGATTTGCACGCAATCATATTTATTATTATTATTTTAAATACAAATTATTTTGTGAATGTAAAAGTGGTGTTTTAAGAGCACGAAAGTTTATAAGAGCCTTTCTATAGAAATTTCCGTCTATAACGAATGTAAATATTTTAATTTTTATCGATTTTTTGATATATTCTATAATATGAAAAACATATAATTAAATTCTATATAGAATTTTCTATTTTAATAACGATTTATCAATAATAACGAACGATTTAATAACAACACGTTTACGTGATTAGAAGTGTTTATGTGGAAAGTATCGATATTTGTTTCGGTTTACCATAGACTTTAATTCTCGAAATGTTCAGATTTTATGGGAAATTCTTTTTATGCATTTTAAACACACAACGAAGTGTTAACTGAATCTGTTCAAGTCTGGTGTGTTCAGTTAACACTTCGTTGTGTTCGAGTATGGTGTTTTATTGTATTCAATTCTGGTGTCTTCTTTGTATTCAAGTCTATTGTCTTCAGTTAACACTTTATTGTGTTTAAAAAGTCACAGTTAATTGAAGACTAGACGCTTTCAGTTAACATTTCATAGTGTTTAAAAAGCATTTAACAAATAAAGGCACGGTGCCAAATAACAAATAAATTATTTTTGACTCGATTAAATGTGGATTTACAAATCGATTTAAGGGTCTACGACGGATTCGGCCATAGACAATTGCCTAGCACGCCCAGGCCCTTGATGACGGTCATGCTTATTACGAGGAAGTTACACAGATGTGTACAAGACGAATGCATTGTAGAGTAGTCAGCGATGACAAAAAAATAGACACAAAATAATACAGAACTAGTCTATTCGACATTTTCAGTGAGTTTACGGTGTCTTTATTCTTGTGTAGAATGCATTAATTAGCTACTTAAATAGAGATTTATAAAGATCCTATTTTACGATCACGTTTTTATGATTTAATTGGTTCCCGAATAACGTCATTAACTCATAAATCGAACTCGAATTTCCCATAGAATCTGTATTATAAACTGAAGTTGTATTCCCGAGGACAAATCCTTATTCTTTATAAGGACAGCAAAGTAAATAATATCCTTCTTATACGCTGTTATCTCGATGATTTTATGTTAATTTACTTAAAAATAAAGCTCAAAATTATGGAATATCACACAATTTTGAAGTTAGTTAGTTAGGAAAATATTTGAACAATGTAATTCAATAGGAATATATTAAATATAATCAAAATTTGATTATTATTATTATTATTATTGCTTAATTTAATAAAATTACAGATTATTATCGAATAAAAATTTAAAGAAAAGGAAACGAGAATTGCTTCTGAATTTTCCTTTTTAAATTTAGAAATATTTTTTAAAAAAAACTTTGAGAATAACTACGGATTGGCCCGTAAGTCGCTTTACCATTTAAAAATGGAATAAGTTCTTTAATGTTGTAATAAAGTACAGGAAAATGGAATTTTTAAACAATATATGGAAAATGACGTCACGTAAATGATTCCCCCATTCTTCGCTTCGCCAGCACGTGCTCTTTCTTGGCATTTTTACGTGCGATCGAAATTGGTTTGATGCTAATAAATCGCGGGATAGCATATAGAACAATGGAGCATACTAAAATTCCAGGGAATAAATTGTGAAACAAATTAAATATATATATATATATATAGCCTAACAAGAGAAAAGTTATTAAAGTTATAAACGGTAAAGCGACTTATGGGCCACCCCGTATTTGTTGCAACGAATACAATGAGTAGAGAAGGTTCCATACAATTCCCTTCCATAGAATTAATAATAAATTTAAAACATTGTATGTTAATTTCGATAATTCTGTTCCACACGAACTGAGATTACAATTTTTTAAATCAATAATCTGTTCATTAAGGAAGAAACTTCTGATTTTTCTTCCTTTTTTTTTTTAATTATCTCTAACAAGAAACGTTTTGATTGCTTTTTTTATAATTGATTTCTGATTTTCACGCTTATTTAATGTAGGAAATTGTAAACTTAAGTAGAATAGAACGTAGAGTAGAATATAATGGAATAGGGACTAGAATATGGACTATAATATAGAATATAGAGAAGAATATGGAATAGAATATGAAGTATAATATAAAAATGTAGTGTTTAATCTTATTTAAGAAAACGCGAGAATTAATCGAGGCGGCATTAGGGTTTTAATGGAATGTCTTATCGACGATACGTCTTAGATGTGGAATTCGTAAGAAGAAATATCAGCGATTTATTTTCGCAATAACGTGGAGAAATCTTGACAAATGGAAGAGCATCATCAATATCAATAAATTTGATCATCAAGGAGGAGAGCGGAAGAAAGAAATGGCTAACTCGATTACTCTTAATGCGCTTCGTGTCGCTCAAATAACCTGCTTAAGAGAACGAAAGAAAAACCTTGTTTAAATCAATGCGCTTCAATGAAGATGGATCTGTACTACTTATTTTAAGCTTCGTTTCGCTTCGAATAAACTTTTACAAATTCCAAACTTTTCCTCGTGCCCATACTCTAATTATTGTTCTAATTAAATAAAAACAATTTCCTTCAAGATTGTTTTTAAAAGTAATGGATAAAAGTCCCTCTCTAGTAAAATCTGTGTCATATTTTCCTATTTAGACTTAGGGAATATTTTAAGAGGGATAGAGGGAGAATATAAACTCGAAAATATTAGAAAAATACCTTATTATTATTCATTAAATACTCTTATTTATCTTGCTTGTATCCTGTAACTCCAATTTCATCCCTTTATAATTAAGTTAGAAGAAACTTTGAAGGCATAAGTAAGTCAGATGACAATGTACTTTAATGATGTTTTAGGGGGTGATCCACCCCTTCCTCTCCACACCAAACCCGATAAACATAATCGAATGTAGAATTTAACCGTGTGTAGGTACTACACTGTAGTCATGTACATGATGGGACATTGAAACGCCGAGAAAAAATTAATGGGAATTTTTTCTGTATGTGTGTGTGGAGGGCCACTTTGAAGCTTAATAACTCCTGTGATTTTTGTCGAAAATTTCTGAAATTTTGCAGGAAAGTTTGTGTTTTAGGGGGATCGATGCAGTTAAATTTTGGAGGTTAAGGGTCGAGGGGTTGGATAGACAGAGGGTGGTCACGTGTCGTATCTCGAGTAGGATCGGGCTTAATGATTTTAACTCGTTACTAAAATTTGCATTTTTTTTTCTTATAGAACTCATCGCTACTCTCAAATTAGCCAATAGGACCTCTGCGAGAAGCTGGCCCCTATTTATGTGTTGGACACGTACCAAGAGGGTTTGCTTCCCAGTAAGGTCCTCTACGGGAAGCTGGACCATACTTAGATGTTTGACACGTGAAGAGTGCTCGGAAAACCACGTGGGCAGCACGTGGGTGAGGCGCAAGTCCGCGACCGTTCAGTAGTTTTATCCACCTGGCCAGTAGTAAACCACTAAGACATTGCGATAAAATAATTAGGAAAAACGATTAAGCCTACACTAATTCATGAGTATCCAATTTAATCGTCGTCATTATCGTAACGTCGCTTTCTGCACACATGGCATTAAATTAAAATTTTACGTAAATGTAATTAAAATACTTTCTGTAAGTATTAAAAAGAAGAAAATAAATCCTTCATTTACGATAAATTTCCTTCACTTTAATAAATTTAAACTGAAAGTTTGAAGTTTTAAACTTCTGTGCCAAAGGGAAAATTTTTAAAAAATAAAGGGAAAAACCTGTCTGGAGTGATATTTAGTAGTCTAAATTCGACCAAATTTGATATTCTGACGTTTCCGGATGTGCGAAAGAGATTTCTGCGAAAAAAGATTTAGTTCCTAAACACACTGGGGGACTTTTAGCGCTGCAAACGGAAAAAAAAAGTAACTTTGGCACAATTTATTAGTGTCGTAACTTTCAAAGAGCATTTACAAAAAGATTTTACGAAGAAAGACACGTTCAGGTACGCACGTTTATGACCATGGCTGCTGATCTGCAATAATACGAATGGTATTTCGTATGCCTGGGCAGTTTTATGACGAGAAATTAATCGTAACACGTGTGCATTACGTCTAGTGTTTTTTTTGGGGGGGGGAGGCCACTCGTTGCCCACAAGTCTCTTAGCTGCGAGTTTTAGAACTAAATTTTCTCCGTGGAAATCTCTTGTGTCCATGAAATTCCGACATCGGCTCTTGTTGGATCTTCATGTCTTTGATGCTCTGTTTTTGCTAGTTGCTAATCTGCAAACATTCCCTACATTTTGGATATTTTCTTTATTCATTCCATAAAATAAATCACAAAAATAAGAAATTTTCATCATTAATATTCATTATCATAAATTTTCATCAGTTTGATCAAGATCTTTACAATTACGATGAAGGGAAATCAAAGATTAAGCTTTAAGTTTTGATCTGCTAGGAACATATCGAAAATTTTATTTCATAACTAAATATAGATTATTTCTATATGAAATTTTCCGAATAGATATGAATAAATAATTGTCTAACGATCTATTTTTCGATCGTTAAAGTTTAATTTGAAAACGTACACATATCTTGTGTATGCGTACAGTACATTAAAAACCCCCCAAAATAATTAAGAATTACGTTTAATTCTTATAAAACCCGGGTCTGTCCGGTATTTTTCTACATAATTTACTTAGAATAGTTATTAAAATTTGTTTTATTTTTATGAAATATTATATAGGACTATTTTATGAGTCAGTAGGCTTTTATTATTGAAAATTTTATTATTAAATTAAATTTCTCTGAATTCAAATTTCAACAGTCGCATTATAAATGTAAAAATAATTCAACTTAAGTGATTTCTTAAAACTAAGGTCTCTCAGCGAGATAGTTCTTCTGCAATTGGAAGGTACTCAGCTCTATACAGTTACAGATGTAGAATAAAAATATTAGAAGTGAACAGTGAGACGAGGCCCTAAAAAGGCCCACAGTAGCCGTATTGGTACTACCACTAAACACTGTTAATTGGTCGAGGGTTCGCACCCTACCAATGGACTGACTGCCTGGAACTTTCCAGGTTTTCTTCACGTGTCTAACACCTAAATTAGGATCAATGTCCTATTTAGGAGGAAATCCCCCAGGAAAGTTTTGTATAGGATATCCTCTTCAGGAGAAACTTTTGGAGATTCTCTTGATGAGGAACCCTTGGAGATCCTCTTGATGAGAAACCCTTGGAGATCCTCTTGATGAGGAACTCTTAAAGATCCTCTTGATGAGGAACTTTTAAAGATCCTCTTGATGAGAAACCTTGGAGATCCTCTTGATGACGAACTCTTAAAGATCCTCTTGAGGAGAAACCTTTGGCAAATTCTATCAATCCAAACCAATCCAATAAAGCAAAGCACGTCGATCATGTTCGGATATGCCTCTTTCTCTCAGAATTTGAATGCGAGGCCCTACAGAGCCTGCATTTCCACAGGATATGCTTTACTCCGAATATCTTTGTGGCGAGCAATAGTCTTCTAAAACTTTCTTCACACACATCTATCCCGCAGCATATTGATTACTTCAATATAAATTAAATTTTTGATTACTATTTATGTAAATATGGCATTTTAATATATTTTGATTTATGTTATAATTTGCCAAAACTTTTAAAATAAATTTGTAATTCAAATTAGTTTACGAAAATAAAAATCGAAAGAGAGAATTATTATTATTATTATTTTCTTACGTAACAGTTGGAAGAGGAGGTTCATATTTATTATTATTAAGAACCATTCTCCTTTTTATTTTATTCTTGACTTTTTCCGGACACTAAGAGACTCTATTTTTTTAATATTCGTCGATGGTTCGAACGGGCCCGCAATGAGGAGCGATCGGATGGAGAGGGATGGGGCCCGAAACAGACTACTCGTAAAACATTTCGAAGGTTTTTCGACCGCTTAAATTCGATCCTAAATCGCCAGAATGATAGGTTGAAGCCTTAATCTTCTCAAAAAAGGCCTCACCCAAATAAAAAATAACGCGTTAATCAACTGAAAAAAAACAGTTTTTACTAGGGCCTTTTTGAGACAGTCTTTAGAAACTTGTATTATAGTTTATTTTTAAATAAAATTTACCAAAAAACATACAATCTGTAACAAACACTTTTGAGGCCTTGGTAAACGTTACACTGGGTTCCGAACGGTCGTTACGTTCCAGCTTAAGCAGATTTAAATATTATCATGATCCTTTAAATTAATAATTTAATGGTTAAAAAATTAATAGACTTTCGCTTAACGTTTTATTCACATTAATAATTCATTTGTATTATTTATTATATATTATANAACATTTTTAAAACGGATTTTAATATAAGTTTAAAATGAAAAGAAATGGTGTTAAATGTGGGAAAAAATTTATACGAAATTTCTCTAAATTGTCAATCGGCTCGCCAGTGATCGAGTGGATGAAATAGCTGAAAACACAGTCGTGGGTTCGCTTCTGAGTAAAGAGTTGACCATGTAGAGTTTTTTGCATTTTTTAATGCATCTAATACCACAGTAGATTCCAGTTTCCCACAGTCTCTAACACTTAAATAGGAGCAGTTTTCATGTTCCAGTTTTCTCCTTGTATCTACCACCAAGGGAGGTTCCAGTTGTTTCATACTGTCTAATACTTAAATAGGGATAGTTTCTCAGATTGTCTAACACCAAGATAGGTTTCAGTTTTCTCATAGTGTCTAACAACAAAGTAAGTTTCAGTTTCTCATAGTGTTTAACACCTAAATAGAGGGAACTTCTCATAGAAGTCTTCGTCATTGCAGATCGCCCAAGTGTTGCGTTACCTTATTCCATCAATACAATTGTAAATTGTCATTATCTGTACACTTTATTATTATATCAATTAACCAAAAAGTCAATTTTTCTTATACTTTCTATTAAAAAAAAATTATCAATTAACACATCTCACAAAGAAAGAAACGAGAAAGAACACCCGATTTAACAGTTTTATTACAGAAAATAAAAATAATATAGATTTTTTTTTATAGAAGTAAAGCGTAAACTTTTAACATTTTTATCGATTCATACCATAATCTCAGAATATATAAATACTCCTAATATCAGAATTAACGCTCGAAGTTTAGACGTTACACAATAGACGAACGGTAACGACAGTATAAAGAGCAGATTACTATTTTCTTGGGGACAAATCGGGATATTTTTGCAGACTATCGATCAAAGAGACGTTTTATCTGAAAGATTCTTTATGATAAAATCCATTCTTTGCAACTTTCTAAAGCGTTTTTTTTTTTTTTTTTAAAGTAGCAGCCTACAAAAGGGGTGTGACGGGAGTGACGTATTTTTTTGATTGATCCACACATTGAACGTCAGGTGTGTAGAGTCAATCGATTCGAGTAGAGAGCGGAATGCGAACTGCACCACGGACTACGATGTACTATACCAAGACTTTCCATAGAGCCAACATCAATCTGGATTAATTCTGTCAAATATGTCGTCTCTACGTGAAAGATTCCCTAGTTGTCAGCCGTTTGCCTTGAAAAATTGATATATTTTATTCTCTACGTTAAAGAAGGAGCAATTAAAAGGTGAGTTTACTTAAGCTTAAACCTATAGAATTTAAATTTACTTCATAAAATAGTTTTCGTGCTTTACGTATGATAGAAAAAGTTCTTTATTTTTTTAATATTAATAATCTAAACGCATTCTTCGGTTTGACATGTAATTCTATGGAGTCAATTCGCCATCCTTAGACTTTTCTTTACGTGTCTCGAGTGCATAAATATGTCAGAATAAAACTAAATATTTACTTATTAAAATAAATAAGGAATGAATTAAAATTCTACAAATTTTCAGCTATTAAATTTAAAGATTTGGCCCTCATTTTAGGGGAAAATATCGAAGATACGAGGCGAAAATTCTTGAAATTTCCCTAACCTGTTGCGAAATTTTTCGAAACTCGTACAAAGAGCGCTTAATTCTTAAGTGATTATCGATAAACAGCGTATAAATTTACTTTCCATTATCAAACAATACGATCATCGATTAAAATTCTAATGGCTTCAACGATTACCCCATTCACTTATCCTATAAATAATGGAAGAAAATCCATTTAACATAAACTAAATTTTAGAATTTATTTTATTATATGAAGTTTCCTACGTTAGTTTCATTTTAGTAAATTGACTAAAACAACTGTAAGTGGACACGCCTTCCATAAAGGTGATTAACTCGACTAAAAATACACTACAAGAGATAACAGAAGACAAATTTATTCCCGTGTCTCGCGTGTGACGTAGAGATGAGAGGTGTCACTATTGGGAGTGCATCTATAATAGGTTTATATGTAAATTCTTTTGTATGTAGAAGGACTCTGGGGTGGTCCATCCGGATACATTGGGCCACTCTCACTACCCGACTGACTCATTGTGGGCCCGGTCGAACCCATAATGGGCTTGCTAAAAGGACCCTGTGAGCACTAAGAGTTAAAAAATGGATGGAATATTCTTCCTTTGCTCCTTGCTTGAGTTTAATAAAGCTTAGTAATGAAGTGTGGACGATTCTACGAGCGAGTCAATAATGTTTTTCACCAATGTCGTTATGGCAACTTGTGTCAACAGTTTAAAATTATTGTGTAGAGTGAAAATAAAGAATCCATGTTGAACTTTGAACTTAGAAGAGCTCGTGCCACGATTAGAGAAGCTTCTATAATGTATTTTAATTATTGTTGACATTCTCTATAAATAAAAGTCAACTAAGAGGAAAGAATTAAAATCTACTAAAAGTTTCATTTAAATTAATTAAACTAAATGGAAAAATATAATTTTCTGGCATGAAAAATGAAAGAAACGTGCGATTCGTGCTATAAAATTATCACTTTATTTAACTTATATTTTTGAATTTTTTTTTAATGACTAATAAACATCAGGAAAAATGGTAAAATTATTTAATTTTAAATCAAAAGTATGAATTTTTCAAATTGTTTTCTAGTGAAAAAAATCGATATCAAATAGAATTAGCACAATAAAATATAAAATATGAATTCTATAGATTTGCACGCAATCATATTTATTATTATTATTTTCTTACGTAACAGTTGGAAGAGGAGGTTCATATTTATTATTATTAAGAACCATTCTCCTTTTTATTTTATTCTTGACTTTTTCCGGACACTAAGAGACTCTATTTTTTTAATATTCGTCGATAGTTCGAACGGGCCCGCAATGAGGAGCGATCGGATGGAGAGGGATGGGGCCCTCGTAAAACATTTCGAAGGTTTTTCGACCGCTTAAATTCGATCCTAAATCGCCAGAATGATAGGTTGAAGCCTTAATCTTCTCAAAAAAGGCCTCACCCAAATAAAAAATAACGCGTTAATCAACTGAAAAAAAACAGTTTTTACTAGGGCCTTTTTGAGACAGTCTTTAGAAACTTGTATTATAGTTTATTTTTAAATAAAATTTACCAAAAAACATACAATCTGTAACAAACACTTTTGAGGCCTTGGTAAACGTTACACTGGGTTCCGAACGGTCGTTACGTTCCAGCTTAAGCAGATTTAAATATTATCATGATCCTTTAAATTAATAATTTAATGATTAAAAAATTAATAGACTTTCGCTTAACGTTTTATTCACATTAATAATTCATTTGTATTATTTATTATATATTATAATGAATATTTTACACGTTATTGTTATTTATATTGAATTCGTAACCTATATTTTAATTATTCCTTTCAATACTTAGCACAAAAATCTATCGACGCTGAAAATATAGGTTGCAATTAGCATTATTTATTTAAAATATTTTTTAAAAGAAATTAATTTTTAAGGAATAAAACAAATTTCTAAGATCCTTCTCCTTTAGGGTCTTAGAAATTTGTTTCAGAATTTATTGCTTCTTTAGAGACTAGAAAATGGCTCCTATTTAGGTATTACAAACGTAAAGAAAATCAAGAAAACTGCTTCTTTAGAGATCAATCTCTAAAGAAGAAAGCCCACCAGAGGCTGTGAACACTGGACGTGGGTTCGTGCCTCTCCAATCATCTGACCACGTGGAATTGTCCAAGCTTCTTCGCGTTTATAACACCTAAATAGGGACCACATTCACATAAAAAGCCCTCCTGGGAAACACCTCTTCGGCAGATGACCCATTTTGCTGTATACAAACAAACCAACAAACTCTAAAGTAGAAGAAGAAACAAACTTATTATTAAAAGCTTTATAAATAATAGGAAATAACGAGTTATGACGTACAGAAGGAGTGGTATCTTCCAACATAAAGGAGGTTTAAACACGCATCAATAATTATTTCGACATTAAACATATAATTCGACTGGAAAACACTCAACCGCTTTGACAATTTCAACGCGTGGTATCAAAAATAATTGCTTCCTCACCAATCGACAGAGGGACAATAATTATTAATAGCTCGTAAACCCGTTTATTTAGTGAGGGGGGAATAAATTATAAAACGATTAAAATGACAAAACTGGAGTCGCCATTTGTCGTCGGCAACGGCGACGACCAGACAACCAGAACGGTTTATTTATAACTTAAAATAAATTCGAATTCTCTCCTTCTTCGACTTGTTTACAGTCGAGTTGTCTAATTTTTCTTATTTGTAATTTATAAATCGAATTACTTACATTTAATATTTGCCTCGTAAATCCGAGAGGAGAGGGTTCGGCTCTTAAATTCGTGTTATAAATATATAACAGAAATTTACGAGTAAAAATAAATAAAAAAACAAATGAAAAACGAGCTTGGGGAGTTGATTCTTATTGGATCTTCTTTTAAAATGTCTGCGTTGACGTCTCGTCTTCACCGATCCTGTTTTAGATAACTCGCTTCGCCCCCCCCTCCTCTTTTTTTTCGTTTAACAAAACAAATTTGTTAAACTTTTCCTGTCAAAGATAACGTAAAATCTCTTCCTATATTATCGTTAACACCAAATGGTGAGTATATAAAATTCTGCTGAATCGACTCTCTTGAAAAATTTGCTGGCAAACGACACGGTTAACTGATTTTAGGTCCACCCCGCCGTATACGTTAAGGTGTATAAAATCGAAATTACGCACCTATGCAGGCATCCACTGTAATAAGGAAAACGACGGGGTGGTCCTAAAGTCGGTTAACCGTGTCGTTTGCCAGCAAATTTTTCGAGAGAGTCGTCAATTTACGAAAGTGGGGTCATAGGTCACAGCGTTACAAAAGTAAAAAGAGGTTAAGACGAGCGGTAAGTGATGAACAGTAAGAAGCGATGGAGCTCGTTTAGAACTATTTTTGCAGAATTTGTAAGTAATGAAGTGTTTAAATAGAGCAGCGATTTAGTCCTTAAGGTAGTTAACTGACTTCCGGACCATCAGGTAACTATATACACACACAGGCAGAGTCCCAAAATATTGATTAAACCTGTCGTTTGCAAGCAATTCGGCAAGAAATCCAGAAATTTATGGATGTAATTTGCATACGAAATAATTACGGAAACAATTTTTTGCAAAGTTTTGTAAGTATTTGAACAGAACAGAAATTTAGCTTTACTACGGTTAACCGACTTTTGGGCCACCCTCGATCAAGTTACGTTGAATTTTTGAAAGTGTAGAAAGTATCATTATCAAATTAATAGGATAAGTTAAGATAATCGAAATATTTTAATTATTGATTAGAAAACTCGATATAGAATAATTGCTTTTATCTAGAATGATATATAAAGTTACTACCACATNCATGGGAATTTTTTCTGTATGTGTGTGTGGAGGGCCACTTTGAAGCTTAATAACTCCTGTGATTTTTGTCGAAAATTTCTGAAATTTTGCAGGAAAGTTTGTGTTTTAGGGGGATCGATGCAGTTAAATTTTGGAGGTTAAGGGTCGAGGGGTTGGATAGACAGAGGGTGGTCACGTGTCGTATCTCGAGTAGGATCGGGCTTAATGATTTTAACTCGTTACTAAAATTTGCATTTTTTTTTCTTATAGAACTCATCGCTACTCTCAAATTAGCCAATAGGACCTCTGCGAGAAGCTGGCCCCTATTTATGTGTTGGACACGTACCAAGAGGGTTTGCTTCCCAGTAAGGTCCTCTACGGGAAGCTGGACCATACTTAGATGTTTGACACGTGAAGAGTGCTCGGAAAACCACGTGGGCAGCACGTGGGTGAGGCGCAAGTCCGCGACCGTTCAGTAGTTTTATCCACCTGGCCAGTAGTAAACCACTAAGACATTGCGATAAAATAATTAGGAAAAACGATTAAGCCTACACTAATTCATGAGTATCCAATTTAATCGTCGTCATTATCGTAACGTCGCTTTCTGCACACATGGCATTAAATTAAAATTTTACGTAAATGTAATTAAAATACTTTCTGTAAGTATTAAAAAGAAGAAAATAAATCCTTCATTTACGATAAATTTCCTTCACTTTAATAAATTTAAACTGAAAGTTTGAAGTTTTAAACTTCTGTGCCAAAGGGAAAATTTTTAAAAAATAAAGGGAAAAACCTGTCTGGAGTGATATTTAGTAGTCTAAATTCGACCAAATTTGATATTCTGACGTTTCCGGATGTGCGAAAGAGATTTCTGCGAAA